TCAAAAAAATATTGAAATGATTAATTATTTTTTGCTCATTCTTCTGGCATTACCACCACACCTTTCGTCCCATATGTCTATACTTATGGTACATATAAACGAGTTCATGTTAATTTGTACGCAAAATTTAATTATATTGTATAACTGTTTCTTCGGCAAAATTTGTAAAAGAAATTTCCTATAAAAATTTATTATTTCCTGAAAAATTAATTTTGATCGCGATGGTAGTGATATATGCCGAAACATAATTTAAATGACAGATGAAGGATATTTTTTAAAAAACAATCCGCCATATTGAGAATATCTATTGATATAATCTTACATACAAGTATATGTATGTACATATGTATGTATAAAGAAATTTTATAATTAAATATTGAAATTGCTTATAAATTTTCATAAAATATAATTTTTTACATTTTGTATACATAAAATATGTATTCGTTCGAAGACACAAACGCAGCCCTTAACACCCTTACTTCACTCTTTTATACTTACATTTATATATACATATCTATGTATGCCCCCACATTCTACATATCTCAATTATGGTTTGACATTGTTATCGCCGCTGTTCTTCAAAGTTCTGACAACTCTTAATCAATTAATAATTCAATAATTGTTACTTGCATGAACTCCGTTACCGAATGAATTTTTTAATAGTTTTTCTATTTCCCATGATTGACGGCTCGAACGATTTTTGTTCGAATTTCATGCCTTTTAAGCAATTATTTTAAACGATTGTAAACTAAATGATAGATTTGTATTCACTTTTTAGACTTCTTTCAAGGCTCTTTCGTCGTTGAGGTGTGTTTGCCAATCGAAAGAAAAAGTGGAAAAATAATCAAATATTGGTTACGTCACTGCTCGTACCAAAGATGTTTTATGCTTGGCCATGAAGAGCTTCAATGCAATAATTATTAGGAGAGTTCACCTACTTACAAATAAGCTAAACAAGAATTTACACGCGTTCTTCCCCTTTTTTTGTAGAATGTTATGGTTGTGCAAGCTACTGTGTGAAATGAGCAGGCCAAGAGCCACTTTGCCAAATATACTTCTTGAAGTGGTGTTACTGCTTATAGCTACACATATAATTTCATTGGATGAATTAAGACGCAGTAGTAGCTTCTGCTAGCTATTTTACGAATTTCTTTTACGACTTATGGGTAATGTCTTGTACATAATAATAAAAAACAATCCCTGTAAGGAATAATTTGAATGGAAGCGCTAATGAACTGTAGTCAAACAAGCATTTTCGATTCTTTCTGCCAATTTGTGGATTCCATCCCGAAAGAACTGTGCCGACTTGACTACCAAGAATGAATCAAGCCAATTTTTGATACCCTGCGCAAGGTCTGAGCTGTAAGGCGGGAGAGGCAAAACTTCTCATCCGCTATTTTCTAAATAGTTTTTACCCGGTCTTGCAACATGAGACCGAGCGTTATCACGATGGACATTGGGCTGCCCAGTATTGCATACAAAAGTGAAATACGACAAATATAACACGGGAGGTATGTTTTTTTAATGTGCTATTCTATCGGCTGTATCTGTTTACTTTTTTTATTGTTGACGTTTAAGTGTCTAAAATTAATAAATTAAATAAATTTCATTAATTTTTTTAATAATATGGAAGGAAGCCACGATGTTCAGCTAAATTAAGTTAAAGAAAAGTAAAATATAAAAATATTTTGTTGTTTCTGTGGTTGCAATGTGTACCAAAATGCCGCTGTTTCAATATAAAGAAGTTTTAACTTTATTTTTGTCACTTTCCCGTGGCATTTTTGTATTCTTAATTTTTCATAACCAGCTGATGAAGTGTAGAAATATTACATAATATGACATACAACAATTAAGGGGTGTTTTTAAGCTATTGAAATACGACATAAGACGAAGCTTGTGAATTGCCTAAATATGTATTAATCAATCTCAATGAGAATATAAATATAAATAAGAGATGTTTGAAAGTATGTAAGTCCCTAGAGTCATAGATGTAATTTACTTTTAAAAGTCGCGTCCTGTGTGACATCTACATTTACATCAAAAACACCTCTTGTGGAATACGAACAATTCTGAAAGCCGTTTGCATGTCGTGACATTATAGGTATATCCGTTATTAAAATAATACGGAGTCAACCATACTATTCTGAGTCTCTTCACCATTTTTCGGATACATATCGCAATTTCAATATGTAGTCTAAATTCGGAATATTTCCAGTAAAAGGCTGCAACAAGTCATAAAATTCGTAGAACTGTACTGGGGCGAAATTTTAATGACCGAATAATAACCGAAAACTAACAAAAACAGATCCTAGATTTTTTTGACTGCTTTTTAAGAGTTGACGTACCGCTTCTCAACGGCCTTTGCTTATAAGTGAGATAACATCGACCAATTCGGTACCAACATTTGGCGCATTATTACCGAGATAAGACCGGATATACATACTGGAAAAAGCGGTGCACAAGATATATTATAACAACATAATTTGTTAAATTATCGTTAAGTTAATACATTATACAAAAAGGTGTATGGGAAATCGGCTACCTGCCTGCTTATGACTCCAATGAGTAGTTAGAAAAAAACAAATAAAAGAATATGGCAGCTTTAAACTCCCTCTTTTCCACTTTTATAAATATATACATTACCCAATACCATTTAGACACAAGTCTTCTTTTTATAAATCTTTGTTGCATTTAACATAAATATAATTAAAACTTACACTTTACCTTAATTAGCCTTTGACCTTCACTCTTTTCGGCAAACAATGAATTGAAAGTATTAAAAATGATCCACAACAATAAAAAAAAGAATAGTTGAGGTCACCGCAAACATGTAACTGTAATAAAGCATTACTATAATTTGGACTAAAGAGGTGTATTTAACGGTAATTAGTGGCAAACAAAGTCAACGATAAGCATCAGTTTAATGGTCCAAGCCAGTAAACCGTTATAATTCAATTAAATCTATTGAAAACCCTATCAAACATTTAATTTCTCAGCCAGGCAGCCAATCAAGTTTCCAACAGCACACGAATAAGTATATACAGAAATATATACTTATGTACATATGTATGTATGATTGTCAATTAGTTTCAGCTATGCGCATGCGTCAGTCAGTACACAACAAGCGCATAAATGCCGATTAAAAAGCGCAAGTGTATATAATTACAAGCTGCAGTGATACAATAGCGCGGTGTCATGAAAAAATGCTCAGAGGTATTTACTTTAGTTTTGTGCCGTGGACATTGTATATACATACATATGTATTATAAATGTATGTATATATACATATATATATGGTTGTATGTATGTATATATGTTGCATTAAGGATCGAGCTAACACAATGCACCAATAAATCACATTTAATATGAATTTGTTGGTAGCTAAGTTGCCCGGTTGTTTGGTATTCCGAGCCGAAGCGCTTGTTCGAAGAGACTGCGAAGTGTGGTGAGCATAAAAAATTAGAAGTGGTTGAGGTAAGACTCAACAACTTGAGAGACTTTGCCGAACATACTGCTAATGGTTGCTCCCATGGCGCCAAGCTCACCGCTAACAACTTTAATTTGTATACCATTTACGGATTTTTTATAAATTTACAATAAAAATAATGTTATGTGAGTTTGATCTTCATGAAGCTCATTTTTTCATGCTATATTTTCATTAAATGATGGTTATAAGTCTTTCGTATAGGTATTTAGTATTCAGCCTTAAAAAAAAACAATTTTTAAATGTTATATTTTATCAAGAACTATATTTATTTGAAAGTTCACTATATTGTGGAAAATTACTGGTTTAGTTATTAAGATGAGATTTCACTGGCTTAGATATGGAACTTTATTTTCATTGTTGTCCTACCTTTAATATCAAGTTTTTTTGTGGAACCTATATGAACTTAAATATTATGAATGATTGAGTTCTCACTAGTTTAGATACAAAATGTTTATGAAGTTTTTGTCAATTTTATTGAATCAAAAGCGTTGAACTATGTACATACAAAATGAAGTTTACATATATGATCTTAGTATTGGATGGTATACAAGTTTGAAAAAAAATTTTATCGTGAGACCTGAAGAGTTATAATTCATATTTTATATATATATGCATATGAAAAAATGTGGAGCCTATTTGGACCTTAACAATATAGATTATGTTCAATATTTTTTTAAGATGAACCCGCACTAGTTTAGATATGAATTTCATTAGAAAAATTGGTTAAAATTATCTCCTCCTTCAGAACACTGAAAATATTAAAATTAATTAAAAATAAGTTCATTTTTGATATCTATGAGAAATAAAAAAGCTTTCTTTATAGATCGGAAATATATGTAGTTATGTATGTATATGAACGTAGTTTTTGGTAAAAACAAAAGCACTTATCACTTTATTACCTCATTTAAAAAGCGCTAAAGTATTCGTGACTTAAACAAAAGCTATTCGAGCTTTTAAGCCGACTTACTTAGTGTTCTTCTTATTTTTAATATTATTTGCAACACAGAAATTGCTGGAAATAAAAGCATAAAACCTAACCAAAACAACTGATTGATTCATTTTAAAGTTATTTCCATGACCAATAAATACATATCTAAACAGGGTCACCTTATCCAAGATAGATATATATAATTTTTTTTTGTTATATCCCCATCCTTAAATTTCTTCAAGCTCAAGAACAACTCTAACCTACCTCGTTCCGACTTTTAAAGGCTTAATAAACCAATCGCGTAAGAACAACCTAAAACCTCGCAGTGTGTGGAGGATAGAGGGCCTTCCACACCATTAGAAACCCTGTTGAATTATCTATGTTATAAATATTTACAATGTACAAATTGTCAATAATGGTATTAACCCATGCATGCCTGTTTCCTCTCTTTACCACAAGCATCTCTGCACTTTGTAAAGAATGAAAACGAAACTGAAAGCCAAACCGACTATAATCGAAGTCAAGATTAAAACTGAAATTGAAATTAAAGCTCAACTCACTCAATGCTGCAGCTGACTGCTGAGACTCGACTTGAGCGGTTCGACGAATGACGACAGCGCGCTCGCTCGGTCGTTTGGGTAAAGTGTGTGCATAGCGTAAGTCTGGCTAAAGGCAAAGTTGAAGCCGATGTTAAAAGTAAAGTTGTAGTGCGGATATTGTAAATATACACTCGAAAAAAATAGTAAAAAATAGTGGCAGAGCAATCAGTTATGTGAACCTGCTACCAAACACCAACACATGTGTGTGTGTGAGTCTGCAATTTGCTCAGAAGAACGCCACAAATATGCGGTGAGATATTCATGCCTCTACTTTAGTCAAATTTGTTTAGCTTGGTGCTTATGGGTTTAGTCGCGGTTTTGCAGGCGCAGCGCTCAAACGCAACGGTTTTATATAGCAAATTTAAAAGGTGTTGGTAAGCTAATGTGGAATTTAAAAGATTTTAATTGAACAATTTTTAAAATTTTGAAATGTGATTTTGAAATTAATTAATTTAATCAATTATGTAGTGTATTACTTATTTTGCAATAAGCTGTGTTGTATAAATAATTTAAAATAAAAATTGATAAAAATTATCATTAATTACCACGAGATCCCTCAAAAAACCAGCAAAAAAGTATACAAGAGATTATAAAAAATCAAAGTACCCACGCTACGATTCATCAATGTAAACTCATTCATAACGAAAATGTGAAAATTATCCAAGCAAGTGTGAGACCCTAAAAAGCCGTGCTTTGCAGCCGCAGCAACAGCAATAACGTGTAGAGACTTTCAATGGGAAAACAATTAAAATTTGCATTCATTAAGTGGTGGAAAAAATTGCAGGTGAGCAAAAAAGTAAATATAAAGGTAAATATGTATGTGTGTGAAACGCTGTGTAAGGAATTCGGTTTAAATTGCGCAGATACAGTGCATGCTGCAAGAATGTCATTAAAAAACAAAAAAATTAAAAATTTATTTTTAATTACATATATTAAAAAAAATTGGTAAAATTAAAAAATTAAATTTAAAATAAAAAATATATCAAAAAAATTAACAGCAAAAATAGTTTGATTGTAAAAATATTTAACAAACTTAATAAAAAATTATTTTAAAATAATTAAAAATACTGACAAAAAAAATTTTAATTGCAAAAATATTCGGCAAAATTAGAAAAAATAAATTAATAAAAATAGAAAAATTGAAAGAATTTAAAATTATTACACAATTAAAGATATGGAAAAATATTAAATCAATAATTAAATAAAAAAATGAAATAATTAAACAAATATGAAAAAGAATGGCAAATATTATAAACTAAAATTAATTAAACAAATAAAAAAATTAGAAGAATTTTAAAAATATTAAAAAATTAATTAATAATTAAATAAAGCAAATAAAAAAAATTATTAAATAATTGTTGGCAAACATTAAAATTAAAAAATTTAAATTATTTATTTTTACAAAAATATACAAATCCCATATTAATGTATCTTATTTTGCGCGACACCAATTCCAACCACAATAATCCATTGACTCATACTCCATTGTCGCTGAGTTTATTAATAAAAAAACAACAACAACAAATAGTACAACATGAACATTATAAAAAAAAAATAGGCAAAGCGCCATGCTATTGCAAAATCTTAAGCGCATATGAGCGTTCATAATGTCCACACACATACGTACACACAAAAATACATAACATACACACATGGCTATAATAAAGTACTTTAAAAAAGATCTAATAAAATGAAATCGAAATTTAAGCTGCTCGTTCGCCAATAAAAGGCTTGTGAATAAGTCAAGTCACAGCGCCAAAGGTGAAGTATGTAGCAAAATCGAAGCGATATATAGCTGAAATGCATATACACATATACATACATATGTATGTATATAGGTAAGCTTATAGCATTAGGTAATAAATAGCATAATCCACCCGCCGCCGTTGTCGTCATTGGCGGCTCCAGCGCTGATCATTTAAATCGGATCAACGCCGTAAATCAATGCATTCACTTGAGCTACTGTTTGATATTACGTATAGTATATAATATATTTCATACAATAATTATTGAATGCAGCGAGGAGCATGTAGAAGTATTTTCAAGCATATACCATAAATATGCACTTACATGCATTGTAATGCAAACGAGCACAAATGTTCGCACAAACAATATACTCGTCCGTTTACCAACAACTGACCATATGAAGAAATCTTTGTACAACGTTTAATTGCTTACTTTATTATTAAGGAAAATCGCCTAGTTTTTCTCGCCACATATTGAAATCATGCAACGCTTCGTTTGCTGCAACAAAAATTCAATACTTGCATTCAAAACATTCGAAACACGACAATTTAAACACAACTAATGATAAATTAAACAAAATTATTAGTCAAGAGCGTGTAATAAATCATATGTGTGTCCGTGTATACATCTAGATATATGTATGCGCATTAGGGTGGAGCGAAAAAATTTTTTTTACTTAGCCTGAGGGTAAAATCTGTAAATTATAAAAAAAGCAAATTTTTGGAGAAAAAAAAGTACCAACCCAGTTTTAAAGTAAATTCTCGAGTTAAAATTTTTATTTCGTAAAAAATTGTTGATAAGTGTTCCAGAATCTGTGAGAGTTCTTTTTCTGGCCAATTAAAAGTTATCAACTTTAAGAAAATTTTTGTGATCATTATTGGAGTTTAAAAAAAAGTCTTAAATGAAACATGCTTTCCTTAAGCGTTAAAATAAATTTTGAGTCAAAAACTGTCAAATTCGGTATATTTAATATAAATGTTAAGAGTTTAAACCAAAAATAATTTTTTCTTGTCCAAAAAAAATTTTAACTCGGAATTTACTTTAAAACTGAGTGGGCCGCCTCTAGATGTTAGATCTTTTTTTATAATCTACAGATTTTACCCCCAGGCTAAGCAAAAAAAAGTTTTCGCTCTTCCCTAATAAACATATATACACATATGAATCGAATTTTATGTCTATAATAATTAAAATATAATTCTTGAGTGAAATTAGTTTTGAATCTAAATGCTGCATGAAGGTCGATGGCATACTGCGGTATTTTAATACAGCTGCCATGTGGAAACTCAACAGACTTAGCATAAGCTGAGACAAGTTGAGACTAAGCAATTTGAGTTGATATATTTTTAGAATTCCATCGAACTGATCAACTTTTTAAGAATGTGGGAATAGGCAGGCCGAAAAGTTCGTATTATTTGAAAAAAAACAGTTCTTCTCAGCTACCGAAAGCAATACATCGATTATAGCGATCAACCTACATTATGATATAATTTTTGTAGTTCACCTGGTCTTTGATCCAAAATAACCAACAGTCTCAGCGATTTCTTGCCAGCTACAATTCTATTGAGTTCTGAAAACAAGAAAGAATCGTTGAAGCCAGATCCAAATTTTACGCTAGATGTTGCAAAAATTCAAGGCAATTTTATGATCGTTTTTATTCAATTGAGACAATGTATTATAGTCTCTATTGTAATCTGGCGCCTTACCCAATTCACCTCCAATATTCTTGAACGATCTCCCTAACTCTTTCTTCCGATATATTTTTAGTGCCAGCTATTTTAATCAACTTCTTTTTCCGCTCATGCAATAATTCTGCAAATTTTTTGCAGTTAGTGTCTTTAACATCCTCGTTTGAAGTCTATAATAATAATTCGGAGCTTGCATCTTCACTAAAGTGTGAATATTATCCCGTGATTAGCTCACAATTGGATCACAAATGTAAAGCCTTACAGAGCATTTTTAATGACAAGTTTTCCAAAACTTACAACTTGGAGATTTATATTTTCAATACAAAATACTCACCAATTCCCCTATGGGTCGGTGTGGCTACGCTGATTTGGATTATTGGCATACAAATCCGTGCCTTTAAGAAACCTCACAATTTTCATATATATATATATATATATATATATATATATAATATAACCTTCAATAGTCGTGTAAACATAGAACGCTAAACGGTTGTGACGCCACATTTCTTTCTCATAAGTTGAAAAATTCCTTAAAACTTAAGAGAATTAATAATTCCAGTGCATCAAGCAGATGAAGATATAATATAGATGTATACACTGTATGTATGTACTTTTTGATAATATATGTAGAAATATTGCCGTTACTAATTGTGTTTAGTGCAAAAGCAAAGCCGATGAAGTTCCTGAAGAAGGCAACCTTACCCCAATTTCATCTGATTGGGAATGAGTCGGTACTCCGGTGTCCTCTCGCGATCCCCCGTTAGATCTATTAACTTCCCGTGAGCTGGCGCTGATCAAAAACCAGAGCTTATGTGGCTGCGAGATCCTTCTGGCATATAATGACACGCAAGAGGTCCTCTGATATATTTGCTCATAGCAAGATTAAACTCACCGCAATGGTAAGTGCTCTGACTGTACATTGTCTCACAGACTTACATGTGAGTCTACATACATATCTTGTTGGTTGTAAATTGCCAAAGCTGTATGGATGTAGGCGAGGTATTATCATTTCGGCATTTTCCGCTCAACTGTCCAGCTTTGGCCAGATTGAGGTTGAAACATTTCGGTAGACACACCTTCGACGAACCTAGCGAAGTTTTTAGGATTGATATTAATCGCCTTAACAAATTGGTGATAAGCTCAAAACGCTTCATCGTTCACAAGAAACTACCGTTCACAGTTGTCCAAGTGGGATGGATGCCAGGATCAGTCTTACGACCTAACCTAGTCTACTTCGTTTAGAAGTTAAATACTTACTTACATTTAAATAACTAAAAAATATGCGTACTCGCAATATGTAAACTTTCCGAGATATTTTGTAATCGGTACCTCAAAAATAGTTTTATTTGGACCTGTTGCAAACTGGAGAAAAATTTTATACTTTATGCGGCTTGATGGTTGTTAGGTGAAGTGTTCCTCGTTACTTAAGCTCTTCAAAATGCATCGGGTTGCGGTCGAAAATTCGCTTCAAAAATATTCCGGAAACAAAAACTCCGCGGAGAATAAATTTGTATAAAAAGAGAACAGCTAGAGTCCATCCTTCCTTTCGGCGCTATAATCGAAGAACCATTGTTTCGTTAGAATTATCTTATCGGCCTTTGCTTGAATTTTAAGTTTAACAATTCAGAATTTACGGAATTTGGTTCCCCCTACATAATAGATTAGAATATATCGAATATATTTTAGAATTCTTAAAAAATCTATCACCGATATCACATATAGATTAATTTAAATTTTAGAAAAACAACTTCAAAATTGTATCTTGGTAGTAAATGATTATTATTATTTTTGGTACTACTATCAGGTAATACCACCTGAATTATATGATTTTTATACACATACTTAATTGCCTAAATATAAAGGTAAAGCTTAAGAATGAGTGATATAGGTTAAGGTAAAAAATAAGTGATTGAATTTTATTAGAGTTCGAAAGCCGTCTACTCATAGATTCAGTTAAGTAAATCCGATCCATTTAATTGGTATATGCTTAAATTCACTAAGTCAAGGAAAGTGACAACTATTTTAGGGAATACTTCATTCAAGAATTTGAGAAAACTTAAGCAAATTCTTTAAAATTTGAAATCCTTTCGAGGTTATACATGCATACACAGTATTTGTTCGAAAGACCTGTCGAAAGGCATTGCTAGCACGTTTGCTTACTTACAGACAGACCTGCATATTTACGAGTACATGCAAATATATACCACTTCCATCATTTATTCGTACCCTCAACTGTGTACTTCAGCCAGTTACTTTGTCAGACACTTCCATAATAAACAAATCGTCGGAATGAATCGAATCACAATTTCATAGACGAAACGAAATGAGAAGTCAAGTAAAAGGGTCAACCACCAGCCAATTTGGCAGCTAAGCGGCACGGCTGCCAACAATTGCAACAACAGCAACCACGACAGATATATGCACAGATTTGATTCGTACTTGTACATACATAAGTACATATGTACGAAGTACCGAGTGACTACCGCAACCACAGAGCTGTTGACCAGGACAATTGACTTCTTTGCAGCTCCATTCATACACACAAACATAGTACATATATACAGAATATATGTATTTAAATACATAAGTGTTTGCATTGCAAACTAACAATTTTGCAGCTATTGCAGACAGACAAATGTTTATGGCAAATTCGTAGGTTTTTTTTCTCTTCTTGGCCAATAACTTGGACCAGCATTCGCTTTCGTTGATGGTGGGAACTGTAGGTTCGTTTTGTATTTTTGTTTTTTGTTGTGGGTTTTTGGATGATGCAGACAGCGATTCGCCGCAAGCAATGCTTGTTGTTGCGGCTGATGGTCGTGACGGATGCGGTGGTGTTGTCTACAGCACCAAGCTGATGGAGGCACAAATAGTCAAATAGTTTGACAACCGAGCAGATTTTTATTTGCGATTTTATTTGTTTCAGTTTTGTTGTTTTAATTCTCATACTTCTTAGTTATAAGTCAATGAGGAGTTCCAAAATGAAAATTTGATGTTTTGTTGTTGTTGTGCAGTTAACGATGCTTTTGGTGTTTCGTAAGTTGTAATAAAATTGGTTTTTGATAACATTTCGAAAAATTCGATGGTAAAATTAAAACAGCAAATAATAACATCGTGAATTTCAGACAGATTTGCTCGTTATTTTGTTGAATAATTGGTTTTTAAGCGAAACCTAATATGACGAAGGTGCGCCTGGTAGCAACATGTGGCAATAAAACATACATAACGGTATTATAAAACAATAGAAAACATATTAAGCTGAATATTTTAGATTGAAAAATATATGCCAAGAAGTAAGGAGGCGCCAAGTTCGGGTGTAACCGAACATTTTAAAACGCGCGAGCTAATATTTTCAGGTATTGGAACAACTTTACGGACAAAAATAAGAATGTTGCAAATATTCTAAAATTCATCGTTTGGCGAAACCGTGTATGGATCACAATTATATTATTAAATTATAGTGCTAACTCAACTGAATGTGTGTGATATAAACTCAACGAAAAGGACAGAATTTGATATGTTGGTATAAGAGGAAAAATCAACTAGAGAATCAGGAATCATTATATGAGGCTTAGATCAAGGTCCAGAAGTTTGAAATACTTATATTAGGTATATGGGGGCACCACGAAATATTATTACTAGAAAACGATGTTCTCTGAGTTTCATTAAGACACCTCACCAAATAAACAATATTATAATTAATAATAGGGGAAATTTTCTCGGAATTTTATCTATTTTAGGCACAAGTACACACTTTTATTAAAAAGACACGCTCTCTAAATTGCATTAAGAAAACTCACATATTTACCTATATATACGGTATATGGTAAGATCCCAGAACCGGAAGTTTAGCAATAAAAAACGTAAACTTCGGCAAACAGCACCGAAGATATAAATGTAATGCCAACTATATCTATAGGGACTCGATCTCAACTACTTCGGAGATTGCACCGTTGCCTTGAACAATAACCCATGCCAAATTCCTTGAAAATATCTCATGAAATGAAAAAGTTTTCCATATAAGCACTTTATTTCGATCCTTCAGTTTGTATGTCGGTTGGTTAGAACCGGGTGCAAAACTTCATATCTATATCCCACAAACTGAGGGGCTAGTTTGCATATATACAGACAGACGGACAGAGAGATGGACATGGCTAAATCGACTCAGCTCGTCAGGCTGATCGTATATATATATGTATATATTTTATGGGGTGTCCGATGCTTCCTGCTAGGTGTCACAAACTTCGTGGCAAACTTAATATACCCTGTTCAGGGTATGAAATATGTATATTTCCTATTCCCCATAGGGAAATTATTGACCCGTTTTTATCCATTTTTGACAGTTCGACACACTTTGACAAAAACCAAAATTTTCTTCAAATTTCCATAACAACATATGTCTCGCAGATTAATTCGGTATCTGAAGGCTTGCAAAGTTATCCGATTTCAACAGCTTTTAGCTTCAAAGGCACTCTTTGTACAAAGTTTGATTCCGATATCTTCTTTGGTAATTTAGTGAAAGAATCAGATAGAATTTAAAATTGTGATATATGGGAAGTAGGCGTAGTTGCGGTTCGATTTCGCACATTTTCCAATGTAACATAAGAAGATCGGTATAAAGTCGAACTCGGTTTAAAATAGTAATGTAGTTCCTGGTTTTAGGTGTTACAAGCAACCGTGAACAAAATCTTCGCAAAGAAATTCAATCAAGGTGGCGTCCTTGTAGATTAAATGTATATATGTACAATATATTCTTGATTGAAGAGACGCCATTAAAAAATACGATTTTACTTGATTTTATTGAGCAAATTAAATAAGTTATTATAATTTTATCACTTTTTAATAGTTTTCATCTCATCAAAGCCTTATTGTTTGCTTTGCCCCTTTTTCTATTCTACAGCAACGCGAAAGAATAAAAAAATTACTGCCACACTAGTATTACTGCAACGCACGTCCCCATAGCCTTAGCAAATCACCAAACACATAAGAAAAGCAGATAAAATTAGTAAATAGCGTGGTTAAAGCTGGCAATGAGTTGCAATCGACATCTTAACTACAGCAGAACTTCGCCGAACATCAATAAATAACGAGCCGATACTTACGCCATACCGTCTAACTGATTGGTTGGTGTGCAAAAGATGCGTTCACTTACGTAATTGAAATCAAAGTGCAATAGCCAGCAAATCCCGCTAACAAAGCCGTGCCTATAAGTGCACTCATGGCTATTCGCATCGTAGCTTCATTTGACTATTCTGTAGCTTCAACTCTTTCTCACCCGAAGCGCAATTGACATTTTCATTTTTGGTGACTTCTTGTGCACACGCTTACGGTGTGAGTGTGTTTGTATGTGTGTTGTAAGCGTCGAAGCAACAGCAGATCGCTGATTTAACTTTGCGAAATCGATTAGCACCGGCAAAACTTCAAAAGCACAACAGGTGAATAGTTGAAGGCATAATGGCTAGCGCGACTGGCGGCCGAGATGCCATTGAATGCGATACTAACGCTTCTGCAATGGCCATAAATATGGCCGAGACTATCAAACCAAACAATTACATGGCCAGCAGCAGAAAACATCAACACGATGCCCCCAGCAACAGCGAGAGGCCGAGTAAAAAACTAGAATCAGCGAAATTCGGGCATATGAGTGGACGTACAGCTGAGGGTCTGCGTCGGCAAGCGACCAAATATCCACACGGCCTGAATATCAGCATACAAACAGTGACCACTAATGAACACCAGCACACCACTAGTAATGGCAACAACAATAATAATAGCAGTCTACATGCGAGCAGTGACCTGAATGCAAATTATGGCTACTCACGAGCTTCCACGCTGCGCAGCAGTTGGGGTGGCAACAACAATGACAAACGGCAAACGACCAGCGATTTGAATGACGGCATTAGACACACCTCAAATGGCAGGGATGCCGCAGCAACGTCGGATAACTGCCACCGCAAATATCGCATTAGTATGGTCAGCAGTCCGGAAAATCTGGCCGAATTGCAAATGCGCCGCTACAAGTATCCACTCACCGGCAACTACTATCTGGACACACAAGATGCGACGAGTATGAAACAACCGCCCCCGTTGCCGGTGTTGCGCACATATCTACAGCGTTTCGGTCGTTGGAAATATCTACGCTGGCCCATCATATTTTTAGCGAGCACATTGCTATTCTTCGGTCTCATCACCTATTGCATTTGGCTGCACGATGTGAGCGTGGCGCGGGAGCGTTACCAGCGACGACGGCAGGAAGTCAGCAAGGAGGCACAGTTAGCCAATAATGAAGCGCAGCTCATCAACTTTGTTGCAAACACAGTGGACGTGTGGCAGCGTGTTGATGAAAGCATTGCAACCACAACAACTACTCCGGCAACCAGCACCACCAATTCAACCATAGTTGTAACCACAGACCACAATCAGCAACACCTACAGGAATCGACGATTTTACGTGCAATTAGCACTCAAGCGCGCCAACCACCCAAGCAGCAACAACTGACAACATTCAAGTATGTGGTGCCGTCGAAAGGTGTCGTCGTCGGCGACAAAAAGCAGCACAAAGCGGATGTTGATAAAGACAGAGATGAGACTATGTCCGAAACCACAACATATGCCAGCGCCGAAGCGGCTCTGATACCTACTAATGTGCTGCATTACAGCGGTTTTAATGGACATCAGAACAGCTTTGGTGTGCCCATTGAAGAGGGTCACCGCATTTTGAGGCTCTTTAATAATGTAAGTACCATTGCATTCGATAATTTTGTATATTACTCTAATCAGTTTTGGACTTATGCGCTCTGAATCTGCAAGCATTCATGTTCTTTCTATATGGATGTAGGGCTGAGATTATGTTAATATTAGATAAGTTTAGGTCACAGTACAGATCCCTGCGCCGGAGTTCTCGAAGATCCCACTTGAATAGTTGAAATACCGGTCCTACTTGTATATGATGTCAGGAAAAGACTTATATATTATTTCCAATTCGCTCGATTTAGCGAAGGGACGACATCAGAGACATTTCAATCTCAGTCTAGCAAAAGCTAGAGGAGAAAATAATATTAATAATTACAACCAAGTAAAGACACTTCATGGATTCTTTTAATTGCATAAAGTGAAGATGTCTACAAATACTTCCTTTTATTTATACTACCATATTTTTCTCATACAGGGCCTTTCACCATATCAACCCTTTACCCCAACAACTAAGTCTTTGACTAAGGTATCACCCACGATACCACCGCTTGCAAAATCTAAGCCAACACATTCCATGTCATCAGGCTTCCGTACCACCGCGCAAGATAACGGTTGTTACTCAACCACGCTGCCGATGTGTCAGGGTATCCTGGACTATGATTTAACATATAATTCCACAACCAAATTACAGTTTAACGATCAACAAGCTTTTCAGCAGCTAGTAGAATCGAATTGTTCAACACGTGCGCTCGAGTTTATATGTGTAACACTAGAACCGGAATGCAGACCTTCGCATATTGGTATATTGCCACCTTGTCGGAGGATTTGCAAAGGTACTTACTACCAATAAATTATAGAAAAATCAGTTTAAAGTTGTTGTTTTCTTTTACTGTCTATCCCTTTCTGTTAAAGCCGTACTCGAAGCCTGCTCCATCGTCATAGCCAATTGGGACGCGCTCAACGAGCTGTTTGACTGCAATATCTACCCCGACTCCAACGATCCGCACAAATGTGAAGATCCCACGAGAAGACGCGATTACTGCTACGACAACGAATTCGCTTGCTATGACCGCACCTGCATACCGCAACAATGGCAGTGTGATAATATTAAGGATTGCGCTGCTGGCGAGGACGAAGAGAGCTGTTTGATTTGCGATCATCAGGATGAGTTCCGCTGCCGCTCTAATGAGAAGTGTGTGCCCGAGTCGGTGCGCTGTGATTTGAAATATGACTGCTTCGATGGATCTGATGAGGAGGAGTGTGATGAGTACGGTTCCGGAGATGAAACAGCGGTCACTTTCGATGAAGCTGCTTTAAATTCATTCCCACGCATATTCTCCTATGCTAGTTTCCTATCGCCCAATCAAACTAATGAAGGTTTATATACCTACATCACGGCAGCTACGGACGATGAGAATGGCACGAAGTTTCAGGTGCATGAAATCACCAATCGCACTAGCGGCATATCTACCGAAGATGTTACAAACAGTGTTCCCGGTGATGGGCCAAAAGGTTTCGGTGAGCTCTTGAGTCTTACTCCCACTCTTTATTATCTCACAAATGTTCATATATATTTCGCAGTGAACTTCCGTGATAGCAAGGAAATCATGATGACCAGCGATACGGAGAATAAATTCAAGTACTCTTCGGCTGCCACCACCTCACGTCTCGCAACAAATCCCAACAATAATAGCTTGATCAGGGGCAATAAAGTGTCCTTTGGTGCCACCACACCTCTGCAACCGGCCGCCTCAATGCGCATCGCCGTCACTACCGAACCGGTCAACACATCCAAAGACGACATAGATAATGACGACAACAAGAGCAAAAAAGCGCCGGCAAACACTTGTGCGCCCCATCAATTGCGTTGTGTGAGCGGCGAGTGCATCACAGTCAATCAACTCTGCGACAAGGTGAGCTTATGCTACGAAGATTCACTCTGAAGTGCTTGGTAAAGTGTTGATTGTATTTGCAGAAAATTGACTGTCCAGATGGTGCTGATGAGCTGCTGTGTATCTACAAGGAGCAGCGCAGTTCGACAACAACAACAATGCGCAGCAGCACAGACGGTCCTTCAAGCCGTAGGCGGAGTGTGCGCACGCAATCGACGACGCCGGCAGCGACGACAATACGTACGGATAAACGCTCCTTGACACGTACAACAATAAAGAGAAAGGTGAAAACCTAATGTTGCAATAACAACAACGGCATCGTAATGGCTACTTGAATTTGTTATTGTTGCACACTTTCAATTTTATCTAACTGTACAGCGCGTGTGTGTGTGTTTTGGTTAAGTCCTACATAGTATTGTATTTTTCTTGTTGTTCTATACTCACCTGGCTATACTTTTCCAATATTCTTTTCTACATTTAAGCATTATATATAGTAATGAATATATATTTAGCTTATTTACTGCGTACCTATGTCGTTGCTTGTTTTAAACAAAAAAGACATTTATATTTTTAGTATTTTTATTGTTACAGCTATATCTACGGATATACATATATAAATATTTACATAATTAAAAGAAAATGTTTATTATATTTCTTGATTCATACTCTTGTTATCATGTGTAGTTGATTTTAAGGTTATGTTTTAATATGCAATGCTGTAAATAATAACTTTATTTTATTATAAACTCGAAAAGTAAAAGTAAACAATGTAGTTTTATAATATATTTCGTACAACTAAAGGTTATTTTAGGTTAGAACAAGCAGAAAATCTTGTTTAGATGCAATATTAGATAAGCCTTGCCGACTACAAGCTCCTTACAGTCCTTTAAAGATCAGAATTTGTATACATTTTGATGAATTATATAAATGTTATTATATTTATACTCTGCGCGTCAGCAATAAATATAATATGGACCCCTTAAAGCATCGTGCTGTTTAATTTGGTAAGTATTCTCAATTTCAGCCGAGAAAACGTAATCTTCCCTAATCTGGCTTTTATCTAGGCTGCATATAGAAAAAGACATTTCAGTTTTAAAGATCAATTTAAATGAATGGGGTTCTAGAAGATTTTCGATAAGGGATTTGCCAAAGATTTAGAAAAATTTGGGTGTTTAGATTGAAAATGCAAGAAATTATATGACTGAACGAAATGAAGAAATATACTGGATAGCAAGTATACTATTAAGTAGAGGCATTTAACGATAGTACGTGATTTTGTCAGATGACTAAGTTCTATAATTACATAAAGACATGTACAAATAGAAACATTTACATCAAATTTAAAATACGCTTAGACCTGCCATAAGTTCTGTTACAAGTTCAGGCTGTTATAAAAATGAAACTATAATAAATTTTTCAATTAAGTTAATTTTATTTAATATTAAATGAGCGATATACAAAATCTTATTCGAAATGGTTATATTATATTTTGCTTTTACACAAGCGCTGAAACGCTTCGGCCATTGATCACTAGCAGCACGCAAAATTTTTAATGGTATTGACGACGATTCTCAAACCAAAAATATTTTGAAACTCTCCAAATTTCGGTGGGATCTTCAACAAGCCATGCTCTACAATTCTGCAGCCCAATGGAATCAAATTGAACTTTCAGACAGCCAATCATCTGCAACTATAAAAGCAGGAATATTATATTTAAGCTACTGCTGGGGGGGGGGGGGGGGGGTTGGTTCTCCTTGTGTGCTGGAGCAAAATCTTGCTGGAAGATCCAACGCTCTGCATCGAAGGGAATATTGCTTAACTGTTTTACCACGTTTGTCACAGAAGACAAGTGCTGTGACGTCTTTACAGGAGACTCCCCACGTTAAACTCTTAATTAATAAACATTTTGTTTATTAAAAACTGCAAACCTTTTAATCTGTGAAAAGTTGACTTTTATGGTCGTTGACAGCGAAGAAGAAGCCGCTTGCATATGAAGATCATCTCGGAAATTGATCTAGTCTATATATTCTATTCCCTTGAAATAATTTTCTGCTCTCTAAGGGGACTCTAAATAGGGTATATTAAGTTTGCTACGATGTTTGTAAAACCCAAAAGCAAACGTCGAAGATCCCATAAAGTATACATGCAAATGATCAGCGTGACGAGCTGAGTCGATTTAGACATGTCATTGCAACATGTAGGTAGCTACCATACAAGATGACCGATCAAAATCAAGTTCTTATATGGAAAACTTTTAATTGGCATACTATCTTCACGAAATTTGGCATGGATTATTTTTCAAGGCAACACTACAATCTGAGAACAATTTTTTTAGATCGGGGTACTATAGCATATAGCTGCCATACAAGATCTTAATAAAATTTATATTTTCCCTGTTAAGTAACCTTAATTCGATTTTAAGGTGGTTTATATTAAACCACATGAATAGAAATACCTAGCACAACGTTTTTTGTTATATGCAAACCGTTAGTCAGTTAAATTTTTAGATTTAACTAGTAGTTATGCTTATACCTATAGTTGCTATACAAAATTAACCTTTTTCTTGTTTAGTATTCAAATATATCTGAGAGTAGAAAAAACTGGAAAACTCTGCTGCTATCAAATTCCGTACGTTGAATGCGAAAAAAATTATAATGCCAAATTATGTAGTTTTTCCTTAGTTTTCAATGTATACCATGTGTTGAAATGTTAGTGTTATTTAGTAAGGCCATGTTTGCTGCCAGACATGCCTCAGTCTCGGCGATTTCTTTTCAGCAACCATTCTCTTCAAGTCTATGAAAAAGTCACTGGGACCAGATCTGGAGAATACCGTGCATCTGTAAGTAATTCGATGTGCCATTGCATATAAATTTATCATAATTTTCATTAATTTATTATGCAAGGAGTTCATTACCCAAAAGTTCATGAATGATATCTTCAACACGTTCCTTGGTTATGATGTTTCAAATTATTTTCTGGACTATTTCATGTTTTCGTCCGCCTTTTTCAGACGACTTCAGTGCTTCTATGGCCCAATAGGAATTTAGGTTCGCAAGAGACCGGCTCATAAAGAAACTTATTAATATTCGCAGAATTTTTTCAAAAGAAATTGGTATCTCATTAACAATCAAGCTCCAGTTTTTTTTTTCATTATGTTAGAAAATAGGCCATATCTCCGGAAGCATTTTTTAATTTCCATGAAATTTAGTGCACATAATTTTTTTTTCCTTTCAATTCTTGAAGCGAAGAAGAAATTCTGAAAGATTTTATAATTGAATTTTCTCTTTTAGATTTTTTCTTTAAAAAACAAAACTTATATACATAACTACATACTAATATCTCATTAAGTACAGTTTTGCACGTAAAAAGTAAATGGCCTAAAATTACATTATTTAATACTTGATCCGAAGATCTTTGTATTTAATTACATTTTTTACACGTCTCGGCATACTTTCAACTAAATGTTCTATTTTTCCTTCGGTATACTTCTCCATTCGATTTGTTCTCTGCTCCATAGCTCCTCCATATTGATTGGCGCTGTTCGATATTTGCACAATCTCCTGTTTACAATTGCTCACAAATTTCCAATCGGTTGGATGAGCTGAAATCGTTTACATTGGAGCCAGTGAGTAAGAATGGCGGTGTGTTTCGCATCGTTATGCTGTTGAAAAACGATCTCTTCATTTGGATAAGCACACTTCTCCATAAAGTCCGATAAATTTGATTGTAGACTATTCAAATAGTATTTTTTTTCCAGTGATTTTTACTAACGGACCAATGTTCCACCAAATGAAGCACCCCCATACCATGAGACGGCCGTCACCGTATTTTACAGTCTCTCGCACATGATGTCGTTGAAGGTTTTCATGTGGGGGACGCCAGTAGTACTGTTTGCCATCCGATTGGAAACGAGTGATTTTCGATTCAGCCGACCAGATAAGCTTTTTCCAGTCTTCTATGGATCAGTTTTTTTGTTCCTTACGAAACTCTAGACGCGCCTTAATATTTTTATTAGATAAAGCAGGTTTCTTCTGTTTAATGAGCTCTCCACTCCTGCAGTGTTCTATTAACCGCTGTAGTGAGTCTTCTGACTATGTGCCTAGCATCAGCGTTTGTTAACAATCGTGGGCGTCCTCGCACGTTCGGGGAACCAACTACCTTGCATCGTTTTCTTATAGCCACAACACTACTCACAGCTAACTTAAACTAACTAGCAATCGAAAGGCCACAAACAACCTTTGCTTTAACCTCGGATGAAACTTTTCACATTTTGTATGAAAAGACTGATTGCATAATATCGTATGTTTATGCAACTGATAATCAACTAAAACTAAAAGCTAACCCACACTAAGTAAGCTCATTAAAAAATATGTTATGTTTTACGGCATCATATCAAATTCAAGGCATATTGAATTCATATTTAGTAAAACGATCAAAACTGTACTGAATGAGTTTGTTTTAGATTTGGTAGAACTATTCAATTTATTTTTTGAAATTTTACTAGTATTCGAATTTTGTTGTAAATTAAACAAAGAACTAACACTTCAAATTTGGTAACGTTTGAGCAAACAGTTAAAATGTTAGATACTGAAAAAGCAGAACGGTTTTGCTCGCCACTGTATATACTGTTTGTATATTAAATGACGATTCCCTTATAAATGCGCACAAGGTAACAAATTGTAGAACTCAAATGAAATGTTGAATAAAAAATCGATTTTGATTGATCGTTTCATTGGAAATCCGATTTAGTTTTTCCTCTTTTTTGCCAACATTTTTTATTGAAAACAATTTATGCGCATGCATTCATCAGCCCCTGCTGACATTTTCGCACAAAACGGCACACAAACAACACACACTTCCATGTAAATGCATGTACAACTGCAGGCTGCCCCTCGCACGCGCTTACATAATCACTTAATCCCAGCAGGGCGTATTAATTTTTCGGTTTCTGGCAGCAATATCTCATGACACCTAATTATTTTCTCTTTTCAGCACTTTTTACACATTTTTTGCTACAATATTTTTATACCTTTTTACAGAGGAAACAGAATAAAAATGCAGCGTATTAATTGGAACACGCTGAAACGTTTAATTGTGATTTGGATCACTCAAAAAGTTTGCGATATTCGCCAACCGATAAACCAGCGGCAAGCGGCAGCTGTTTGTCGGCAACTACCACCGCCACACCCTCCTCACAATTAGTTGATATCAATCACTGCTTCGGACATTTCGGGCGGCATTTGCGTACTTTTCACAAAATTCTCGAATTTCTTGGCAAAATGCAACAGAAACAGATAAATAAAAGGAAAAGGGTTGATAGCATATATTTGCACGAAGATAAGTGAAAGGGTAACGTTAGCAAAAACATGATTGGGATTCGATAAACATATACATAATAGTTTATTTTTTTTTTGTAAAAAGGCAAAAGGCTGTCGAATATCAGTGTTTAGCTTTAACCCACTAAAGTCACTAAAGGTCATACCATATATGTATCTATGGATGTATTGTGCAAAGCCTACCTGTCAGGTTCACTGATTTCCATTTTCGTCACGTGACCGCCGGCAGCTTTATACTGAGGCTGGTAGTTTCTTGAATCAATTCGTTGTACCAATCGACTTTTAAGAATATGGACCCCTGTTATTAGTGTCGTTGTCCTATCAAAACTGCAAACCTTCACACTGCTTCCTATTTAATACGGGATGAAAAAATTCCCTGGAATGGATATGATCATTGATTTTCCTTTCTTCGGAGTAGCGACTA